CCCGCCCGCTGCTCCCGGGATCACGCCCCCGCGTCCGCACCTGCACGCGCGCCGCCTCCTCCAGCGCCAGACCAACCGGGTGGCCGCGGTGCGAGCCCAGCACCGGGCAAAGCGCGCACACGCAGCGGCGGCAGCGGCGACAGAAGAGCTCAGCCACGCGGTCGCCGTGCTCCGGGCAGCGCCAGCCGCGCGCGTCTTCGGGCTCCGCTGGGCCCAGCCCCCCAGGAGTCCCACTTGGCGCCGCCGCGCCCGCCGTTCACCCCCAAGTTTTGGGGCCGCCGCGCAGAGAGGGGCCGGCGGGGAAATCGAAACCTGGGCGGTGGGGCGGGGCGCTGCGGGCCGTCCCAGTTCCGGCAGGGAAAGACAGATATATGGCGGGCGCCGCCTGCAGGGCAGGGCACAGCCTTAGCATCATCACCCTGCGGACAGCACTGTGCTCTCCCGCCTGTCCGCCGGGGCAGTGAATACTCAGGCCTGGTCTCCCGGCTCTGTGTCTAGCCCAGAGGCGGCCACAGCACAAATGGGGGCTCACTTCAAATGGGCTAACTAACTGCAAGGAAGTGGGCTTCCCCGCTGAGTGACGCTCGTCCAGTCATGATCAGAAAACTGCAGCCCTGTGGATGGGACCAAAGTTGGCTGTGGCCCTCCAGGATGCTATGCGTTACCTAGACTTTTCATTTTCCCTTAATTCTCTCTTGCCCTATCCCCAAGAGAAATAACGATTCCCGCAATTGTGAGAAACATTCTGGAAACTCCACCTGCCCCCACGCTAAAGTCTCAGCATGCACGGAATGTAAGTTGGTACAGGCATTAATGGAAAACAGTATGGAGGTTCCTCAAAAAATTAAAAATAGAACTACCATATGATCCAGCAATCTTACTTCTGGGTGTGTATCCAAAGAATATGAAGTCAGTATATCAGAGCTACCTGCGCTCCCATGTTCATTGCAGCATTATTTACAATAGCCAAAATATGGAAACAACCCAAGTGTCCATCAGTGGATGAATGGATAAAGAAGATGTGGTATATGCACGTATATATAGTGAAATGTTATTCAGACCTAAAAGAGGAAATCCTGCCATTTTCTAAATGAATGAGCCAGGAAGACATCATGCTAAGTGAAATAAGCCAGACGGAGAAGGACAAATACTGTGTGATACCTAAATATGAGGAATCTAAAAAAAAGTCAAACTGATAGAGTAGAAAGGTGGTTGCCAGGGGCTCACAGAAAAGGGTAGGGTGGGGGAAAAGGGTACAAACTTTTAAGTTACAGAACCCATAAGTTCTGGGGATCTAACGTACAGCGTGGTGACTATAGTTAAAAATACTGTATTGTACACCTGAGATTTGTTGAGACTGGATCTCAAATGTTCTCAACCATACACAAAAAATGGTAACGACCTGAGGGAATGGATGTGTTAATCAACTTGACTGTGGTGATCATTTCACAATGTATCCATATCGTAATCATTACCACATACACCTCAAGAAATCACAAACAACATAAATATATACAATTTTTGTCAATCATACCTCAATAAAACTAGGGAAAAAAAGTCTCAGCTCCCACCTACAAAGCCGTTGGCTCTTTTTTTTTTTTTTTGGCCCACCGCTCGCATGTGGAACTTCCCCTAGCAGGGATTGAACCCACGCTCCCTGCAGTAGAAGCATGGAGCTTTAACCCCTGGACAACCAGGGAAGTCTGCCCTCGGCCCTTAATACTCATGATCTCTGCCCTGTCTATGCTCCACCCTTTGCTTGTTTCCAGACTATGGAACAGCTGGTTTTCTCTGCTTGCAACACTCTTTTCCCCAGATGCTCTTTGCCTTGTTTACTCCTATTCATCCTTCGGTTTCTGCCTAAGTATCATTTCCTCCAAGAAGCCTTCCTTGCTTCTCCTCCAAGAGCAGCCTGAATGTCCCCTTCCTTCCAACCACGACTAAAAACTCTTTGAAGGGTAGGAACTAAGTCTTTCTTGCCTGTTTCCCAGCTTGGATTCTGGCCCAAACAAGTGGGTATTTCCAAAAGTTCACTTTATGCCACCTTTGCTTTCACAAAAGACCTACATTAGTACTTGCTTTCACTAACGGAAAGAGGATTTTTGCTTTTATGAAAAAAGACAAAAAGTGAAAATATGTTCAGCGTTTGTTTTACAGCAAGCTATTATAGCGGCATTGGTGCACCCCTAGCACCCCAAGCAGTGGGAGTAGCACCACCAAGCTCCTTCCCCAGGAACTACACTCAGCATCTCAACATTAAGCAGTCTTAGCTTTGAACTGTGCCTGTGAGCATTTGTGCTTTATCTGGACTTATTTTGTGTGTCCGTCAGCAAGTTGTGTTAAGGTAACTGTTTCTTCACTTTAGCCATTTTGGCTTTCAAAAGGTTTCATAAGAACCCTCTACTTTCAGATATGAGGGAAACCTGTCATTGGTATTTGTGAAACAAATCAAGGAAAGCTCCATGCATTAAAATGTCTAGGAAGATGTTGTTTATTATTTTGTTACATTCTTTCCATTGCACTATTCCACATCTATTTATTTTCACTTTTTTTTTTTTTTTTACAAAGGTACAAGGAATTTCAGAAACAATATTAAAACAATCAAACTGTTTCAGGCACGGTTTCATATTAAAAGCATAGATTGATTTCTGACTTCCTGCTTCCCTCTATGATACAATCTCAATGACTGTAGAGCTAAGGTGGATACACCCCAAAGCTCATCTCCCAGTGCTGTCTTCATTCTCAGAAAGTTCCTGAGTCAACAGTCAGGGGGGTTCCTAGGGTATGGAGTAAGGAGATGAGCACACATTCCGCTTGCCCTGAGCTTGAGGGCCCTGCAAATGCTGGGCGAGTTCCACTTCATCAGTCAAGAACAAAAATGTAATTTTAAAAAATGTCTTAAAAAAATATCTGATAAAAATTACCTATCCCTCTCCCTTGCTGTGAAATAATTTAAATAATTTATTGTAGATGTAAAAAAAAAAAAAACAAGAAGGAAAAAGAAGTTTGTTCATGGATGCCTTCGTATTGTTTTTAAGCACGAGGTCTGGGTCCCTCAGGGGTGGGGAGAGCTTGAGAAGGAAGGGATGTCTCTGTGTGGAGGAGGCATGTGGGAAGCTCTCCAGACCGGCCCCACCTCCATGCTTTGCAGCCAGTGCCTTTTGGGCTTGATGATTCTTCATTCTCTGAGGTTAGGTCTTCTCTTCTGAACTTGGGGATAATAACACCTAGCTGACCCATATTAGAGTAGAATGTGTCAGTGATTGAGGGTGGGAGTGCTTTGTAAACTGTGACATGCTGGCCGCAAATGAGGTGGGAAAGGTAACCCCATCCAGTGGAGTTCTGCTCCCCTGACAATGCCTGGGATTTGGCCTTTGGCAAGCTTGGCAGGCCCCAGTGACTGAGTAAACCTGACAAGGAACATGGGCACCTGGTGTGTGTGGGGGCAAACAAGGGGACGCAGCCATGGCTCGGGGAGGGGGCAGTCGGGAGCACAGAGCCCTCACTGTGCTGCAGTCAGGGTCCCAGAGACACCCAGGACAATGCTTCTTGACTTTTTTTAGGAGCTTCTAGCATGGACTTAAAAGACAGGCTTGAAGTCCCAGATCCTGAAGAACCAGATCCTGAGGACGCACTGTCCTCATCTTTACTGCAAATAGGTACAGAGGGACTAGCCCAGAGGGTCTCTGTCCTCTCTGTATTGCAGAATTACCTGGGAACTTATAAAAACATACACAAGGTCAGGCCCTACTCTGGAGATTCGGCTCCAGCTGGTCTGAGGTTGGGCCTGAGTATCTGTATTTCCTGAAGGCTCCCAAGGGGATTCTAAGGTACAGCCTGGGTTGAAACCTACCAGGCTAGGTGGCCTCCTGCAGTTCCCATCTTAGCTCCAGGATCGCCCTGTGCAATGGACAAACTCATCGTCTGCATAGCCTTGGTAAAGAGGGGCACATTTAACTTCCAACATTCCCCGTCTCTAGCTGGGTTGTTGTACTGACCACTGAGAAGGAGAGAACCTTAGAGAAAGGGCTCAGAATACAGATTCACAAAGGAGGGACACAGAAGAACTCTCAGGCTGGAAGGGAAGTCAGGGCCATCTGGTCCCGCTTCCTTGCCTAGTACAGTCATTCTTCTCTAGAAACCCTCATAGCTGGGCGGCCATGGGGCTCTGCCAGCACACTTCCAGGCTGGGGTTCCCTACCTCCTGGGGGCCCCTCTTCTACTACTTTGGGCTGAAATCTGCCTACATCATCTTGGAGGAGGCAGGCTCTGCGACCTCAGGGCTTTGGTGGTGGCAGTCGGTAGCCATGGGCACCACTCTGCTGTCTGCATCCCCACACAAGGGATAGTGTCTACCCATATTCAGCTGATTCTGGTTGAAGAGAGAGAGGATGGCCTCCTGTCTGTGTTCTACAATTAGGCTGAACCCTGACTTACTTCCCTGAAGTTAAACTTCCTCTGCCTCTTTGTCAATGTCTTTGGAGTTCCTGCAGCAAACCCAGATCATCACCCTACAAGTAGTTTTCCTTAGGTCAAGGCCAAGGTTTCTTCTCAGGTGGCAGATCCTATTAGAGGGCAGCGCATTCCAGGGTCCTCCTTGTTCAGATGGAGAAAGTGAGACCAGAGAGGTAATGATTTGCAAGAGGTCACTGAGCAAGCCAGGGGCACAGCTGAGGCCAGAACCAACGGATTCCTGCCTTGTGGGCTGAGAACTGCACATCTGCTGCATCATAAACCACAGAAAGGCAGACCCAGGAGACCAGGAGCTCAGCCCAGCCCGGCCATGAACTCTCTGGGGACCTTGATTACTTGCCTCTCTCTGGGCCTCAGTTTCTCCACCTGTAAAATAAGGAAGTTGGGCCACGTCACTGGTTTTCAAACTTCTAATATTTTTTAGTAGCAGAATTATGTATTCCATAGAAGCTAATATATAAAACAGAAAGAAGGGGAGCTGACTGGTAGGAATGGAGGCGGGGCGGGGGGCACAGCCCTCCTGACTTAGCCTTCCCCCCTTGCTTTGGACCACAGTTTGAAAACCACAGGAAGGTTCACCTCCTAGGACCTTCCAGCTCTAACTTTCTACAATGTTCTTCCCCTTGAGAAGTTACCGTGGACCCTTCAAAACAATTAAACAGAAGGCAAGGTATCATCTAAAAAGAGTCAATTCAGACACTGTTGTTTCAAGAAGGCAAATAGAAAATCGGCACCAGGTCCCACTGGAATCTTTCAGCGACCAAGAGTTTCATCTCTGGTAAAAAATACAGAAATACTGGCTGTTCTCGGGGGACCTGTGGTTTGGTTCCGGACCTCCCCGTGAGCCGAGTGGTGTCCCTGAGGGCGAGGAGGGCAGAGGACCCTGCTCAGAGCCTCTCTGAGCCCATCCGCAAGTTTTTGATCTCCAGTTCCAATTGTTTGGCCTGGACCTCACGCTGGGTCACCAGCTCCCGGAGCCTTCGGATCTCATCTTGTTGCCGATAGAACATCTGCAGCAGCTGGGAAAGCACAGAGCAGAGGGGAAGGTCACCTGGGTGTCCTGGGATGCAAGGGGTCAGGACACCAGCAGAAAGCGTTAAACATTGCCCCTTTTTGACTCAGAAAGGTGGGTGATTACATTTACGTGGCTGAGGCCTGAGGGGACAGCCATGGCATAGATCTTTTACAAAAACCTAATTTTCTTCACCCAATAAATGAAAATCAAAAAGTCTTGACGTTTCAGACATTTTTTGCCTCCTTAGATTCCCCCATGGGTGGAGCAAAGGATGCTTGGCCCTGAAGTCTTAGAGATTGGAGTTTTCACCACCGCTAAACTCTGTGACCTCAGGCAGGTTACTTACCCTCTCTGAACTTCAATTTCCTCCTCTGGAAACTGGGGATCAGAAAACTAACCTCAGCATTATTATAATTGTTGCCGCTGTATAGAATGGTACTAGATGTTGGGTGTTCCCCCTAAGGATTTCGTTATTCCACTGGGTGCTAACAACACCCCTACGAGGGTGGTAGTATTAGTACCCCCACTTCACCACTGTGGAAACTGAAGCTGAGAGATTCAGCCATGCTGCGGAACAACTAAGCCCATGAGCCACAACTACTGGGCCTGCACTCTAGAGCCCGCGAGCCAGAACTACTGAGCCCGTGCACCACAACTACTGAAGCCCCCGCGCCTAGAGCCCGTGCTCCGCAAGAGAAGCCACAGCAATGAGAAGCCCACGCACCGCAACTCGCCCCCGCTTGCCACAACTAGAGAAAGCCCGCGCGCAGCAACGAAGACCCAACGCAGCCAAAAGTAAATAAATAAATAAACCAGTTTATTTTAAAAAAGAGAGATTCAGCCCCCAGGTCCAAGGTCCTAGAAGTAGCGATAAGCAGAGCCAGGATCAGAATCCCTCTGTGAGACCCCAAGCCCTGTGTTCTTAGCCGCTACAGGCTCCCAGGGCTGTCGAGAAAATACAGTCAGATGATATATTGAAGTGCCTACCTACCCAGGGCCTGGCACACAGTAGGCACTTAACAAATGTTGACTCTGAGCGCACAGAAAATCCTAGAGCATCAGAAGTGGAAGGGACTTTACTACCTACCAAGTCAAACCCTCGGCATTTTACAGATGGTTCCCTACCACCTGTAAGTAAACCCACCATCTTGACACGCAGATGGTGCTCACGACGTGTTTGGGAGTGAATCAGCAAAGTGAGTTAAGGGGCTAGGCCAGGCCACACAGCTGGTTATTTTCCTCGCCCCTCGCTTTCTGCCGCCCCCCAGCTGCTCACAGCTGCTCCCCTCCCTTGGCAGGCCTACCCCACCCTCGTGCGCACCTCGTTCTCTGTCTTTGGTGGGGGGCATTCGAAGATGTCAAAGCCATTTGTGAACCAAGTTTTCTTCTCTTCCAGTCTGTGTTCTGCCACCCACCGTGGCGCTCTCTCCTCCAGCAGGGAGAGGGGCCTCCGTCCGTCTTCTGCAGCCAGCTTTTCTGTCTGGTTGAAGAGACGAGGCGAGGTGTGGGCCCTGGGCTTGGAGAGGGGTCTCTCTGGGGGCAGAGGCTGGGGGCTCAGCAGCTCGGAGCCAGGCCTAAGGGACATCAGGACTGGCCCTGGGAGGGAAGCAAAGGGCTGAGTGAGGACTGAGTGCCCCTGAGCAGGTGGGCATGGGGGGCACTGACACACGCAGACACACACAGAGCCACACGGAGACACACAGATACACCTGACACATGTGGGTGATATGGCTACCTGCAGACAGGCACAAACCCACAGACCAGGGCAAACAGAGTGCAAATACACACTCATGTGATTATCTGAGCGAGGCTTGGTTTGTAGGGACTGCCCCAGAATACCGCGGGCCCCTCGCGCCTGCGCTGCGCTCTGCCGTCTACCAGTTCATGATTTCTCCCAACACCCCAAGAAGCAGGGGAGGCAGGCAACACGGCTACAATGAGGAAACCGAGCCCAGAGAGGGGCGAGACTGTCTAAGGGTTACACATAAAAGGGAGGGGCTGGCAGGCAGCTCCGGGGGCCGCAGCAGGGGTGGGAGCACACACTGCCTACCCCTGCGCAGGCCCTTATGTTGACAGGCCAGGGAGGGAGAATCAGGGCAGGCAGAGTGGGCAGAAGGGCCCGGGCGGGGGCTGCTGCCTAGAGGGTTTCTGGGGTCAAAGAGTAATTGCAGAGGTGGCGGGAGGATGGGCAGGGGGCATCCAGCTGAGACTCTCCAGTCACTCTGCACAGCCCAGAATTTAAAGACGTTTTCCTTGGAGCAAAATCCCTTGATTCGGAGGGAGTTTCCTGAGCCACTTGGGACAAGCCCCTCCCTTCCTGGACCCATATGCGACCATCCTAACCACTGGGAACCGACTGTCAAGGAAGGACCAGTCCTCTGGGGTTACAGGAGGACACAAATACCAGCCAAACCCTTCTCAGCTACTTGGGGCCACTGGACGCTCCGTTGTCCCCCACATTCAGCCAAGGCCTTTTCTCTGCCTTCCTCACCTTTATTCATCCCACTGAGCCACTCCTGGGCCGTCAGAGAGGGCTGGGCACCTGCCGTGGGCGGGTAGATGTCCTCTTGGTAGGATTCCGACTGCAGAAGTCAGGACAGTGAGAGCGGGGATGGTGGGGGAGGGCCCTTAGAGATCCAGGGGTGCAGACTCCCCCCAACCCCTGTGAGTTGAGGAAACTGAAGCCCAGAGAGCAAAGGGATGTGCCCGTCACAGAGCAACTCAAGAGCAGAGGTGGGAGGGACAGCGCGCTGACCACGAGAAAGGCTTCCCCTTGAGGAGGGGCCATCAGCCTCCCTGTTGCTCCCCCAGGGGCATGGGCTCCAGGCTCCAGGTCCCGGGGCCCTTCTTCTCCAGGAGGGGTTCCCTACCTCCCTCGGAGACGGCTCATACCGCCCTTACCCGCCGGGGTACAATCATGGATATGGGCTCAATGAGGCTTTTGGTTGTAATCAGCTTGTAGAAGCGGAAGATCTCACAGGAGGACACGTCGAGACCTCTCTTTGGCATAACACCTGTGGGGAGATGACCAAGGAGGGCCAAGAGATTCCTCAGGGTGGGCTGGGGCCCCAGGGACCCTGGGTGAGTGGCAAAGCCAGGCTGGACACCTGGAAGTGAACAGAGACCAGCCTCTTTCCACTATCCTTCCCTTAACAAACAGTCTTACACTGGACCAGGTCCCGAGCTGGGGAAATGGGGTTGAAATCCTCAGACTTTGTCCCCTACCTTCAAGGATTTTAGCTAAACTTTTATAGGAAGTGTGCTCTGCTCAAGGCCCTCCATCACCCTCCCCATAGCTCCCAACCCAGATGCTCTTAATAGAGCAATGCCAGCTTTCCTTTGATTAGTGTTAGCATGCTATCTTTCTCCATCTTCACTTTTTTTTTTGGTCGCGCAGCGTGGCCTGCGGGATCTTAGTTTCCCGACCAGGGATTGAACCCGTGCCCCCTGCAGTGGAAGCACGGAGTCTTAACCACTGGACTGACAGGGAAGTACCTCCATCTTTACTTTTAATCTAGCTGTGTCTTTATATATAAGTGGGTTTCCTATAGAGGGCATATAGTTGCGTCCTGTTTTGTTTTGTTTTGTCTTGAATCCCTAAACACACTTAAAAAGTAGGGCCTCTCTTAGGTCAATGTCCCCCATCTCCTTGCTACTGCTGTAACTGCTTAACTTTCAGCTAGAACACCTTCATCCTCTCCCCACGCTGTGCTCTGCTTCCCTTTTGGCTCCTCAAGTCTTGCCTCCTCCAGTAAGCCCTCCCGGACTTCTTCCTGTGTGCTCCCAGAGAACCTCCCGCATACCTCAACTAGAGCTCCCATGACTCAGAGCATTGACCCACTGTCTCCCTCCCCAATGAGGGGCCGTCTAGGGCAAGGCCTGACTCAACCCTGTCTCCCCAGGCCCCAAGTGGCCTCAGTGTCCCACACTCACCGATCCCCTTCTGTGGGTTATAGGAGCGGTACTCGGTCAGGTAGTTCAGGTGAGGTTTGTCGGTGCTGACCTCATAGTAGCGGATGTTCCCGTCTCCCTGTGGAGGGGAGGGCACCACTCAGAGCCGGGCCCCACCAGCCCCCCACCTGGTCCCCACTGCCACACAGCAGAAACCTGGAGAGGACTGTGAGTGAAGAGCTGGCAGAGCCACCTCTCACAAGGGCAGACCAGAAGACTGTCACCAAGGCAGCAGGGCACCAAGGCACCTCATTTTAACACTTAGTCCCCCCAACCATGACCCAAAGCCCACACAGATGCCTCCAAGGCAGAGGCTCTGGGAGCACAGGCCTGAACCCCACTCCCATCTGAGAGCCACACACAAAGGTCAGAAGTGGGGTTCCTGAGACCATCCAGTGGGTCTTACCCCTGGGGCATTTCTGGTTGTCACTGTCATAATGACTGGGTGGGGGGGTGGGTGCTGCTCCTGGCATTGGTGGGTAGGGGCCAGGGATGCCAAGTACAAGATAGTCTTACCCAATGAAGACCTGCTCTGCCTCAAATTTGAAGGTGCCCCTGCCAGGAAACACTGACTGGTCCCTCCTTATCTGGACCCAGAACTGGGGAGGGACTAGCTCAGGATGTCTGGCAAAGCCCCGGCCCCAGGTGTTCTTATGGAGCCAGGAAGGTGGGAGAGGGGCGGGGCTCACCACAGGGGGAGAGTATCTAGCCACTCCTGCCTGTCCCTGCCCCTGCCCCTGCCCCGTACCCCAAGGGCCCCAGGCTGTGGTCTGGCCGCCAGTGGCACCAGGCCGCCACCTCCCTCCCGTGTCAGACTGACCTTCCCCACCACGTAGAGCATGTTGGTGTCCGAGTCATAGAACGGAAACAGCACGCCTGAGGAGCCATCGAGGTCCTCCTCTGCGAGAGGCACAGAGAGGTCATCCTGCAAGGGAAGGGAGACCAGGAGGGCCTATGGGTCACTCATGGAGTGCCGCTTGGTGGTGCTAAGAATTCCTGTCACAGGGCTGTGTGTATGTGTGCGTGTGTGCGTGTGTGTGTGTGTGTGAGAGAGAGAGAGAAAGAGAGACCACCTCCTTTTCCCTTGCTAGCATTTTACCTTTAACGAATCATTTCTCATACACATGATGTCATTGCAGCCCTCCTCCTCCTGTTTTATATCTACTATAATGCAAGGAGATTCAGACAGAGAGGAAGCGATCTGTCGAACTCTGGCCAAGTGCTCCTTGAAATTAATACTACTTGGCCTGGTCTTCATCCCCATCCCCACCCCCACCCACCTTGAACAGGCAGCTCCTCTTGCCCACACACCTCCCTATTTCACTCTAAGGGCTTGCTCCAGCTGCTCCCTCCGCCTAGAAGGCCCTTTCCTTCTCCTGCCCTCCCCCCACCCCCAAGTCCTGATCCCAAACTCAGCCACCTCGCCTCCCCCACACCGAGGCTTCTCCTGGGTCCTGACCCCTCCCCTTCCTTGAACAACAAGATGCACAAGGTGTGGCGCTGGTGAGGGGCGCTGGTGGGGCTGCTCGGGAGACTCACCTGGTCCCACAGGGCCATCTGCCGGTTGTTCCATCGGGATGTGCCCGTGGACAGCAGCTTCTTCAAGTTCCCCAGAAATAGCACTTTGTTGGCGCGGTGCCCCTTATAGCTGGCTTCCTGGAGGGACATGTGTGGTCAGGGACACCCTGTCTTTGCTTATGCTGCTGCTCCACTTGGAATGCCTTCTTTTCTCATCCCAGCTCTGCTTGGAGAATCCTTCCAGAGGTACCACCTCCAGGAAGCCTTCCTGGGTCTCTCCCATCCACATAAAGTCTCTCCCACTATTTTTGTTGAGAGTTCTTTTTCTGAGCTAGGACAGAGGTAAACTTCGGCCCAGCTCCATGTTTTTGCTAAAAGATTATTACTGAGCATCCACTATATGCAAGACATGGGGCTGGGTGGCCACTGTCACCTGGGATATCTCATTTAACCCTCCCAGAGGAAGGACTAATGGCCCATTGTTGCAGATGGAAAATAGACGCTCAGAGAGCAGAAAGTGCTTGTCTAAGGTCACACAGTGGATAACAGTGGTGCCCTGAGGTTTCTTGACCCCATGTCATGCCTCCTGACAGAGGCGAGGCACAGTGATAAGCTTTGGAGTTAGACCAGGTTCCAGTGCCAGCTTTCAATGTGAGCAAGTCCCTTAGCCTCTCTTCAGCCTCAGTTTTCTCATCTGAAAAGTGGGTATGACATATTCTACACCCCCCCGAACAGATGGGGATAAACACGCATGAAGGCTTGGCCAGAACATTAACATTATTACTGCCCTGTTCTCAGACCTCCCCCACCCTGCCATGCCCACTCCACTCCTCGCTCCTCTGACCCCAAGCCAGACCCCAGCCCAGCACTGACCTGGAGGACGGCCCCTGCCCGGGGGTCGAGAACCCGAATCTTGCGGTCTTTACAGGCAGTGGCCAGCAGGCTGCCGTTGGTGTTGAAGGACATGGAGAGGATCACGTCTTGGTGACAGTTAATTGTCTTCACGGGGCTCATGATTACAGCCTCCTTTGTATCCAGGTTCCAGACCATCACCTGCATGGCAGAGAGCCGGCTCTGAGCACAGTGCATCCCCCCGAGCCCCGCCCTGGCCTCCACAGTCACGCGCCAGCCAGGCTGCAGTGAAACACGGTATCCCCGGGAGGGAAGCCACAGATGGCAGTTTGGCCAAGAGGCCTTGGGTGGGAGGATGGGTCTGCTGGCTGAAGCTGCCACGTGGCAGGAGGGGGAAGTGAGGAGTCAGGCTATCTGGCAGTGAAAAGAAAACACCATCTGCTTGGAGAAATGAAACATCCATGCTGGGAGGACCCCAGGGGACCAGATAGTCCAGGGGGTTTCAAACAGTCATTAGCAACAGTTTCTACCACACAGATAACAAGGGCTGCCATGTTTAGCTACACAGGCTGTGCACTGCACAGCTCCAGGGCAACCCATTCCCGTAGTCTATAATGCGAATAGCGCCCCCTGGAGTTGTGTACAGATAAACTGTACAACCATAAGCAGTAGCACACCCTACATAAATAGATAATAGAGCACTTCTGATCAGAAGGGGGTAAAGGACCTCTTAACCACTCCCATCCCACATCAACCCCATTTGTGTGCAGACTGAGAAACTGAGGCCCAGAGAAGACAAGGGACTTTCCCAGGTCATACTGCAAGTCAGGGATGGAGTGGGAATAGAATCTAGGTCTCCTCTACTGTGAATTTTCCCAATCCACAGGGCCCACAGCTTGCTAGCTTTGAAATCAATGGAGCAGGGGGAGGCATCTCTGGGCAGGGTCCAGCCCATCCCCTCCAGAAAGACTAATGGATTGAATAGTGTCTCCACCCACCCCCTGCCCCCACCAAACTCATACCTACCTGGAACCTCAGAATGGGACCTTATCTGGAAACAGGGTCTTTGCAGGTGTAATGCGTTACAGTGAGGTCATACTGGATTGGGGTGGGCCCTACATGCAATGACTGGTGTCCTTGTACGAAGAGGAGGGGATGTATAGATACACAGAGAACAGGGCAGAAGACAGAGGCGGACTGGAGTGATGCAGCTACAAACCAAGGAATGCTTGGAGCCACTAGAACCCAGAAGAGGCACAGAAGGACTTTTCCCTAGAGACTTCAGAGAAAGCATGGCTCTCTCTCCTAACACCTTGATTTTGGATTTCTGGCCTCCGGAAATATGTGAGAATACATTTCTGTTGTCTTAACCCACCAAGTTTGGTCATGTCAGGGTAGCCCTAGGAAACTAATGCACAGACCCACCTTGTAGTCATAGCCGGAGCTGAAGAGGATACTGGCGGCCGTGGGGTGCCACTCCACCAGGCCCACTCTGCGGGCGTGGCCCACCAGCTCCTTCTTGCAGGCTGTGAGGTTCTTTGTCAGCAGCTGCTTGGGGATGTCCCAGATTTTAATCTGTCAGGGAAGACACAGTCCAAGGGAAGGGTTGGCCGGGGTCACCTTGGCCGCCCACGACCCTGAGCCACAGAACTGGCAGTGCTCAGCAGACAGTCCGGGGGAATCTCTCTCTGTATCGACCTCTCACTCAATGGAGAGGCAGCTGGGGCCCCTCAGAGAGACAGGCGCTTTGCCAAGGTCCTCCAGCCCAAGCAGGGGCTGGAGATGAGCCTAGGCCTCTGGTGACCTTTGCCATTCTTAGCGACCTGGGGCAGTGGGTGAGTGGATGGGCCACAGGCCTGATTCCCAGGCTGAATGTCAGAGCAAACCTGCCTCTCAGCCTAGAATACCCCTCAAAGTACAGTGCTCTGCCCCCTCCTGGTCCCAAAGGCTCAGGGTAGACCTTCAAATGCCAGGAGAAAGGGTTTATGCTACCTCCTCAGGGAGCTAGGGAGCCAGCGCAGTCTCTGGAGCAGGACAGGGCAGGGATAACCCCCAACGACTTCCGTTACAGGGGCCCCCTTGGATGGCCCGGAAGAGGAAGACTAAAGGCCAGAAGGCAGGGTTGGATGGGGTCACAGGCCTGTATTCCACAGTGAGGGCCTGGGAGGAGGGGCTGGGGCTTCCTTCCGGAGCAGTGTTGTTGAGGAGGGAAGGGGCTTACATGGTAGAAAGTCATCTCCCCATCACAGAGGCATACAAACGGAGGAACAGAGGATGCTACAGAGGGTGACAGAGCCCAGGCTGGTGTTGACTTAATGTCCCTTATTGTCCTGCAGGGCTCTCAGGCCCCTATGTGGTTGTACGTCCTCTTTCCC